CCTCTGAGTGGGAGCTGATACCTGCCCCCGTCTCCCTCTGAGTGGGAGCTGATACCTGCCTCCATCTCCCTCTGAGTGGGAGCTGACACCTACCCCCGTCTCCCTCTGAGTGGCTGGAGGGCTGGTGGGGTAGAGGGGGTGCTATCTGCCCCGATGGACTCAAGCAAAACCGACAGGATGACGGAGCTGGCGCAGGGCCGGGCAGTGTTTTGTCCTGCGGTACCCAAGGGCGCTGTACGCTGGTGCTGACCGGATGGCGACCACTAACCCCTACAGGAAGCAGAGAGGTAGACCTGCAACTCTGGGCCAAGAACCCTGGCAGTGACGGCGGTGGAAAGGGAGTGCTGACCCGAGCATTGGTTTCCGAGAGCAGTGGCCACAAGGCTTCCTCCGCTTGGACACCCATAGAGGCCAGAGATGGCCAGGTCTGCAGAGGTGGCCAGCACACACCTGCCTCTAAGTGAACAGCGTCCTGAGCCCCTTGGCTGCTCTGCAGTCCCAGACGGGGGTGGAGCAGGGTCACCGTGGGCTACCCGGCTGTGTGCTGGAATCTGTGTGCCCCTGACCTGTGATGCTTAATACCATGTGTCTACTTGGCTAGTCCTGACGTGATCTCATCCCCCCGTCTTGTGCTATTACCCAGGTGGTGCCATGGGCCGGGCATTGAGCTGGGCACCACGGGGTCAGCAGCTGGAACTCACCAGCCACTCCGTGGGGAGAAAGATGGAGCCGATTTGATGGCAGTGGGATTTTTTATTTTGTTTTGACCCAAATTTTCCTTTGAGTCACACCAAGCCCCTCTGGTGCCAACGACACGTTTCCTTCAGGACTTGACCGGCAAAGCCCTCCTCGCTCTGGACCCTGCATTCATGCCCATGCCATCTGACCTCTGGTTCTCGGGGCTGAGCCAGCAGCCTGTCATCTGACCTGTGGACTCTGGGCTTCACCAGCGTCAGAAGCACCCTAAGCCCACTTGCCGATCCAGAGTCTACCAGTCCCTGCAATGTCTCAAGTCAGGAAACACCATGAGCCAAGCCTCTCATCTCCACAACTTGAATGAAATTATCATCTATTCGTCTCTCCGTCTGTCCTTTTGTCTGCCTGCCTGCCGACCTACCTGGGGCCTTCAACGAGTTTGTGGAAAAATGGAATGAAAAGACAATGGCCCATGCTCAAGATGACCTTCTCTGCCTCCTCTGTCCCCCACCCTCACCTTCTTCCCAGTGCCACCCTCGGCCCCCACCCCGGCCCCTGCTCACCGTAGAACCTGGATCTGGCAGTGATACTCCCGCTGATGCAGAAGCCGTCTTTGCGGTTGCTGACGTGGAAGGCAGACACGGGCGGGTGGTGGGAGACCTGGGGAGGGACAGCATGGGGAGGGCTCTGTTTCCCCAGGAGAACCTCCTGCCCCCACAGCCACTGGGCCAGACTCGCTGCTGGTGCCCAGGGGAGGAAGAGCCACTTGGGAGTCCTCTGGGGAGCGTCCCCGCCCTCAGGAGGGTCCAGGGGTGCACTCGGTGAGCATGCTTGGCTGGTGGTTGGAGTCCACCCACAGGTGCCTCAGAGGAAAGGCCCGACCACCCCCAGCCACAAGCCCTGGCGTGGACAACCCATGGAGCACAGCCAAGATGTGTCTCCTGCCCCCACAGAAAAGCCTGTCCCTCACAGAGGGGTTGCTGTGTCTGCAACCAACCCATCCGGCTGGGCAGTGGAGTATTCAGATGGGCATCTGGGGCAAGACCTCGCCTGCCCTCTGGATGGGGCACCCAGTCAGGTCTAGGGGGTGTGTGTCTTCCTTCTGCAGGTCCAGCTCACCGCCTGGATGGGGCACGCAGCGGGGCATGCAGTCTCACCTGCTCGGCGATGTAGAAGGTGTGGCTGTTGGTGTGCGGGTGGAACCAGCGGCAGCGGAAGACTTCCCCGAGGATGGGGTTGTAGGGTTTCTTGATCCCCTGGGACAAGGGCAGGCAGGCTGTGGGGGCTTCTGAGGGGCGCCCTGCAGGCAGGGGGCTGCCCCCAGCCGGAGGCCCGCACAGTGTCTCATTGGCTTCAGAGTGGTGATGGTGTGTCTAGGGCCACACTCCGATCCTGCCCACCACTCTGCTCCCAAGGAGCAGGCCAACTCACGGCCTCTGGACTTCAGACCCCAAGTAAAACCCCAAACCTGGCCAGCCTGCCTCTCTGACGACCCCTCCTCCCTCTCAGCTCCAGGCAAGCACCAGCTCTCTGCTCCCCACGGTCCCCCCCAGTCTCCACAAGGGCAGGCAGGGTCTTGTCATGCATGTGGACCCTGCTCTAGAGGGGCCTCACGCCACCCCTGCCTGGGCTCCATTCCTTGTGTGTGTGTGTGTGTGTGTGTGTGTGTGTATACATGCTGTGTGCCTGCATGTGTGTGTTCAGTGGTCTGCCAAGTGCAAAGTCAGCAGTTTGAAACCACCCGCTGCTCTGCGGGAGAAAGACGAGGCTTTACAGTTTCTGAAACCACGGGGCGTTCTGCTCTGTCCTGTAGGGGCGCTGTGAGCTGGCATTGACTCAACGGCAGGGAGGCTGCTTTCTCTCCCTGTGCCTTGGTTTCCCCTCCCGCACCATGAGGAGGCAGAGCCAGCATGACCATCTGCACACTCGGCCTTCTCGAGGTCAGCGGTGGGCAGAGCTCAGCTCCCTCTTCCCCACTACACCCAGTCTGCGTCTGGGGTTCTAAGCACAGGCCACACACACGGGTCCGTCCCAGAGCCGCCTCTAGCCCAGCACCTCAGCCCCTTCCTGGCACTGCAGGGGGCTCTGCTCTGGGGGAGACTCAGGACCCCTGGTGGAGCCTGGTCTGTGCTGGGGAAGTCAGGGCCTGGAGCCACCTTGAGGGTGGGGTGGCGGCAGGAAGGTGTCCAGGGGAGCAGCTCACCTTGGGTTTCTTGTAGAAGCCAGACAGGTACCAGCGCAACACCTGCTTGATGCGGCTGTAGGCGCTGCCCTCCAGTGCAGCCCTGTGATAGGAGGGACCGCTGAGTACCCCCACCCCCACCCCAGCACACCACTGAACACTTCCCTCACCATGGGCAGCCCTGCAGCGGGGGGCTCCCAGGGGGTGGGGATCCCAGCCCCCCCCACCTCCATAGGGAAGCACCGCACTCCCCAGCCCCCTGCCCCTGAGCTCGGGCCCTAGGGGTAATGTGAGGGTGGCCCTCCCTCCAGGACACAGGACAAGGACGCCCACCCAACCCTCTTCCCCAGCAGCCTGGGCCTCGGGGGTGTGGGGTTCTGGGGAGCCTGGGGAGGGAAGGGAGTTCCAGGAAGCGGGGAGGGAGGGGTCCAGGGTGCCGAGGGGCAAGGAGGGTGGCACGCACCGCGACAGCAGGTCGGCATGGGCACAGTGATCAGCCAGCTTGCTGAGGAAGGAGCGGGGCTCCAGCATGACTGTGGGCAGTACAACTTGCGACAGGTCCAGGCCTGGGCGCAGCCCCCACAGGAGTCCCCACAGCAGCCAGCGGTGCTCCTGGGACACCACCTCCACCTGGGCCCTTGTGCCCAGCTGTGTGGGAGGGGTGACAGGGTCAGGGTGGGGCTGTGCCCTGACACCCCCAGGTGCACCCTGGGACCCCTCCACCTGCGCCCTCTGCTCCCTCCCGGGCCCCTATACTCCCCCTATGCTGTCCGGGTCATGAGTCCCCGGTAGGGGCAGAGCAGCTCCACTCTGCCCTGTGACCTCACTGTCCAATGTCCCTCCACCCTGCCCCGATGGCCTTCTGGGTGTCTGTGTCCAAGGCCTGTTCCTGTGGGGACAGGACAGCAGTCCTGGACCCCAGGCAGCACAGATGTCACAGGACGAGTACACCCCCCTTGAAGCCGAGCTGCTTGCCACCTAGCCCCTCCACCCCCATCCTGCTGTGCTTGAAGCACAGTGGACCTGCCCATTTGGGGAAGGGGAATCATGGCCCCTGCTATGCCTGAGCCCCTTTGCTGGGCTAGGCAGGGTTAGGGTTGCGGTCAGGGGTTAGGGTGAGGGTTAGGGGCATGCAGACCCTCAGGTCCATCCTCCCAGTATGGGGAGGGGCAGAAGCCCAGCTCTCACCAAGCCCAGCTCTCACCTCGCCCAGCTCCTCGGAAGCCTGCTCCACATATGTGGTTCCCCTCCTCGCGGGGCTGCCCCCTAGCTCCGAAGGCTCACTGCCGCTCTCCGCCATCGGCGGGCCGTGCTCCTGTGTCTCGTCAGACTCCCTGGCCTTCTCCTTTTCCAACTTGTCGGAAGCTGTGTCCTTCTCCAGAGGGCTGGCCAGCGGGGACCCGCTCAGCCTGGAGCAGGAGGGAGGGAAGGGCGATGACCCCAGGCTGGTGGGGGGGCGCCCCCAACCCCCGAGCACAAGGCAGGTAGGGCCCCTCCCACTGCTGGGACCCATCCCCAATGGCTCGCTCCACGCCACAGCTGCTGCTCATCTAAGCGGTGGGAAGTGGGGGGTGGGGTGGGGGGCATGGTCAGCTGTGGACAGAAAGGTCAGTGCCCCTCCTCCTGGTGGGAGGCTTGGGGGACAGCGCCCATGCCTCAATGTGCAAGCCCCTCCCCCGGCACAGGGGTGCCAGGCAGCCTCCCTGCCCTGCCCTGCCCGTCCACTCACGGGAACAGGTCCTGGTCGGCGTGGACGTCAGCGGAGCCAGGCAGCCTGCAGAACGCTGAGGGCGATGTGTCCGGTGAGGAGCTGGGCTCCCCGTCGCAGCTCTGTGTCCAGCTGCCCAGGCGCAGGAGGCTGGAGCAGCACAGGGCCAGCTCCAGGGCATCCAGCCAGCAGCGGCCTGGCGAGGGACAGCCAGTCAGCCTCGAGGAGCCCCTTTGGCCCCTACACTGGCAGGGACTCTGGGTGCTCCTTTCCTGAGCTATACAGTCACCATCTGCTGCTCCCCCAGGGCCCAGGGCTCAGAAGGGGGCATGGGTGGGGTAGTACTGGGCACAAGGACCCACCCTGATCATTGCTGCCGGCTTGGGGGTGGGTGGGGAGGGGCACCTGGGATGGAGATGCTGTTTTGTGACCCTCACATCAGGGCATGTCATCCTGGTGCCAGGATTCTAGCCCAATCCACAGTCACCACCCCTCCTCCAAGAAGTCCACTCTGATATGTACACATCGGGGGGCTGACCACCACAAATCCACATAAATCAGGGCCCCAGTGGCTCCCTCCTTGTCCCTGGCCCCAGACTTCATGCTCCTGGAGGCTAGGGCGGCCCTCTCCATCACCAGCCTGGAGACGTGACTAAGGACACGGAGCAGCCACTGAAGAGTGTGATATGATGTGTGGCCACCGGAGGCAGTGTGTTCCAGCAGGAGAGGACGCCAGAACAGGCTCCAAGCTCGAGAGGCCCTTGTGCCCGAGGCCAGTGGTCAAGGTCGAAGTGCACCCTGCCCCACCCCAGGCCTGTTTGGGCCCCTGGCAGGCGGGAGCCCATCACCGGCTCTTCTGGGAGGCGCCTGCTTCCAGGGCCGAATGAGGCCAGCTGCAGTTACAGAACACAGCCACTAGATGGCACTGTGGGACAGGGCAAGCTGGTAACACCAAAGGGCAAGTCAATTAGAGTAACATTGTTGCAAACTGCCCTTCCGCTACTTTGTATCTACTGGCAATGGCATGTATTAGGAAGCGGGAGTCCTGGAATCTGGCTTTATGCCCAGGCGCTAGTATAGCACGTTCTTGCTGGCACGTTTACCCATGCCTAGTTTCCTCATCTGACCAACGTGGGTGTGGTAAGGTGGGGCCTAGCACTCGGCAGCTAGGAGTCTGTTGCGGTAGATTCATGATCGATTCCAAATGAAGGCGACTCCAGGTATGGCCCAGGAGAACTGCCTGCAGGGTTTCCTCACCTGTCGCATTTTGAGCAGCCACTGATGGCACACAGGGTGTGACACACACACCACTGGTGACCCCCTAGTGCATGTACCGCAGAGTGGGTCCCTTGCCCAGCCCTGTGCCATCCTCCCCTTGTTGGCTTTGTGTTTGAGCCCACTGAGGCTTCGTAGGTTGACTGCCACTGTTGGGTGCCAGCAGGCCGGCTTCCCCTCACAGCAATCCCACGTCAAAGGAACAGAGCACCGTCCAGCCCGCCGTCCCCACAATTGCTCTTACGTCTGAGCCCATGGCTACAGCCATGGTGTCCGCCCATCTCATTGAGGGTCTTCCTCTTTTTCGCTGCCCCTCCGCTTTGCCAAGCCTGATGTCCTTCCCCGGGGACTGGTCTCTCCTGACCACACGTCCACAGTACGTGAGACCAAGCCTCACCATCCTTGCCTCTGAGGAGCCTTCTGGCCGTACTTCTTCCAGGACAGATGTTTGCCCCCTTGGCCGTCGTTGGTGGGACGTTCATAATTTGCCGGCACCGCAGTTCAAATTCTTCTGCAGTCTTCCAGATCCGGTGTCCGACTTTCACATGCACGAGCCGACTGAAAATGCCATGGCTTCATATAAAGCCACTGGATTCTCTTGACAATTGAGGAGACAAACTGCAAACCCTGACTCACCACCACGGAGTCGGTTCCGACTCCAGTGACCCTCGAGGAGGGGCCAGAGCTGCCCCTGTTGAACCCCAGGCCCCCATCTCGGTAGACACAGGCTAGGGGTTCAAACCACTGACTTGTTGATTGGGAGTTGTGTACTTAACCACCAGGGATCCCCTATTCTCAGGGAGACAGAACTCCCCTCCCCAATTAGTCTCACTTGTCTCATGGGGAAACTGAGGCCCTGAGGGGAGGGAACCAGAGAGCAGCAACCTGCCTGGCCCACTCCGGACTTGTCCCGTGGCTTCCACCAGCCCCCCACCCCCCACCCTTTGGATGGTGGCACCAGAGCCCGTGTCTGTGGCTCCCCGGGTCTCACTTTAGTCCTAGGACCCCCTGGGGGCCCACCCCAGGCAGGTACTCACCGTCGGACTCGGAGGCCGCCCTGAAGATCAGGTAGCTGCTGGGGAAGGGCTGTGTGATGCAACCCATGCTCTCGCCTTTAGGGCCCTGCAGGGGCAGAGAAGGGCATCAGCAGGGGGCCCAGGGACAGCTGGACACACCGCCATGCAGACCCCCACTGATGCCCAGGATTGGGTTAGGCCTCATGGAGGGTGACAGAAGTGGGGGCACTGCCTGTCTCAGGCCTCTGCTCTCCACTCTGAGCCCCCAGCCGTGGGGTCGGGAAACTCATCCCAGAAGGGCAGTCCCAGTGGCGGCTCAGACGGCTCACGCACAAGTCGTTTGCTGTCAGTCTGTCCCGGGCCGTGTCCGGGACACACTTTGATCCAATTAGAAAAGTGATGTATTTTTCTGAAATCCAGGCTTAATGGGGCCCCTTGGCTTTGGTCTGGCACCTGGGCCCCGCTGAGTCAGGGACTGGGCAGCCCCAGCTATGAGGGCGCTGCGGGCTGGGGGGCAGCATCTCTGTCACACGCTCAGCTGATGTGTGTGGGGGCTCAGGGTTACCTGGATGCTAATGGGTCACCTGTTCCCGAGGGCCGACAAGGAGGGCCCCTGACCGTATCTGGCCTGGGGCCATATTTCGAGGTCCAGGGGGGTTGAGAGGCGGGCCCCTGCCGTCCTGCTGCGGAGCAGGCCTGGCTGACTAACAGCTCCCTGGGATCCCCAGTGCTTCCTGCTTGCGTGTTAAAGGTGCCTTCTGTGTACGGAGCCTGGCCCAGCCCTACCCCCTTGTCCGTCGTGTCCTTTCCAGGCACATGTGCACACACACCCCCCCACGCCTGATCCTGAGCCCTCTTGCCCACCACCCACTTTCAGGGATCTCAGAAGGGTCAGAAGGCCCTGAATCCTCCCGCCCTGTTTCCTAGCCCCTCTAAGTCCTGCTGGCCACCTTCTCGGCCCAGCGGGCTCTAGGGTCCCCCCTGCCCTTGTGTCCCGGCCTGGGCCCCACCTTCACGGCCCACACGGACTGGTCCAGCGGGTGGAAGAGCTTGAAGCAGAAGCCGTCCTTCTTGGAAGGCCTCTGGATGAGCTGGCAGCACTGCAGCAGCACGGTGCCCACCCAGTGGCCCACCTCCGGTGTCTTGTAGATCAGCAGCAGGCCCGGCTTCAGCACACACCACAGCTTCGTCCAGCTCTTCAGGGTCCCGCGGATCTGCCGGGGCCACACAGGTGTGTGTGTGTGTGTGTGTGTGTGTGTGTGTATACCCCCGGGGCGGCATCCAGGCATGGGGGGAAAGGGCTGCCAGGGGTGGGACTGGGACCCCTGGATGTGTGCCCCAGGGGCCTTGTGTCCTGTTCACAAGCACACACCAGAACAGGTGGCCCTGGTGGACACTGATCATGCTTGGTCCTCAGAGGAGCAGACTGGGGTGGACACACGTGAGGACTGGGACAGACAGGGGACAGGGCTGCCCACAATGCCAGGCATGCGCACGGAGTCCGGGGCTGTTGGTGACTGCCCCAGAGAGGCCCCGCCCCCACTGAGGATGGGGGTGAAGGGGCAGGGTGCAGGTGGGGTGCCAACTGCCCTTCCCTCTTTCTCCTCCCTCACCCGTCCCACGCCCCCTTCTCCAAGGCCATGTTATGCCCCGTGTCCCCTGGGAGTGCCCGGCAGGCCTCAGGGCCTCAGGCAGAGACTTGGTTTTGTTTGGAAGGACCCGCATGCGGGTGGTGCACGTGCTCTCTGATCCTGATGACAGCCTCCTCCCCGCCCCCTCCCCACTGATGGGGAAACTGCCTGGGCAAGGTCCCAGCCCTAGTCCTCACCTCCAGACCACACCTGCACAGGTACTAGGGCCCCAGGGGGTGGGGGTGGCAGGAAAGACAGCAGGAGACACACTGGGGTGCTGGGGAGCCCTGTGGGGGAGGCCTCCCCCTGAGCTGGATCCACACTCACCCCTCCCACCCCGCTGCTCCTCCCCCACCCTATACACCCGCCCGCCCCCCACCTTCAGGCTGTCGGCCATGATGACCACGCTGGGGTCGGTCAGTGCGCTGACCAGCTGCTTGGTGGCGCGTTTCTTTTCCTGCCGGTAGTTCTCCTTCTGAGCCTGCCGGACACCACGGGTCAGGACCCGTGCCCATTGGCTCCCGCTGCCTCGGGGCGTGAAGCACGCCCCCTGCCCACACGCCTCCCCCTCCCCCCTAGCTCTTGAACAGGACGGGCAGGGAACAGAGAGGGCAGGCTGTGGAGGTGGCTGGCCCCCACCCCACGGCAGAGGCCTCACTGGCCCCAGGGTCCATACCTTGAGGGTCTCCTTCTTGGTGGCCTTGGTCGTTGGGGACACACACTCCTTGTCGAACCCATCACACAGCGGGTACTCTGCCTGCGGGTGGGGGGGGGCACCGGTGAGCCTTGGGGAGGGGGCAACCTTGTGCCAGAGTGGTGCCCCCCACCCCCCCTCCACTCACCACTGCTTCCCAGGGAAGACTCTGGAACCTGCCTGAGCTGGGGGTGGGACTCGGGGACACACAGGGAGGGGCGGGGGCTCAGGTCCAGGACTGTGTCCAGAGGGGGTGGGCACCCAGGAGGAGCAGAACTCCCAGAAGAGGGGTGGGTCCAGAAGACGGGGTTCCTAGGAGGGATTGGGGCATTTGGACTTGGGAAAATCCCAAGGAGGGGCAGAACCCCTAGGAGAAGGGGGCTGGAAGAGAAGGTTCCCAGGAAGGGCCAAGTACCTGGGATGGGGAGGGGTGCTCAGGAAGGGGCTGATGCCTAGGAGGGGGAAGGGGGCCCCAGGGAGTGGTCCAGGAGGCCCCAGAGAGAAGAAAGGTGAGAAGGTGCCACTTGTAGAGGCAGGACCCCT